TGCATCAAGGCAGATCAGTCCGCGGTGAGTAGACAATTTATGAGGAAATAAGTGTTACTTTTAAAGTATTAAGTATCTATAGTTAACGAATATTAAATGTTTGTTTTCAGTTGGACAACCTGACTGAACAGGAGCTGCTTGCACTGCTTTCCTTTGAGCGCACGAACGTGCAGAAGTCTGTGCGCCCATTGCATTCACGCATCCTACAGCTCATCCATTCAGTGAAAGGACAGAATAGGTAAGTTCGTCAGTTTGGCATGTGCACCTTATGGTCACGTCCGGTTTTATACAAACAAACAATCCCGAAGTCTCAAGGAAGCTTCAAGGAATACACTAAATGCTCCTTTTTTCAGTCCTTTTCCTCTCTTTGCCCATTTGCTATAGTTAATGAATTCCGCCTGAATGATATTGTCAGATCCAGCCATTTTTTCTGCTAAAGCATTAGTACTCGTCGCCAGTGCTTTTTCGTCATTACCGCTACAGCATGTTGTTAGTTGAACCAAGCATATTTCTAGGGTGCCAAATACACCTTACGCTCACCGCGGTTTGACTTCCGTAGTCCGCGTTTAGCCCCAACCATTTCTAGCGGCGGCCACTGTCCAGAACCTTTGAACTTTTAGTAAAGGGCAAATAATGCTCTTTAAATAATAAACTATTATTTTGTGACGAATATATTGGTCTAACTTGTCTGCCTAACCGTACACGACGGTGCTTCGTTCAGAAAAGTTACAAGCCGTCGCGTAGCGGGCGTCATTATCGATTGGAAGGTTTTCTGTCAAAGTCCAGGGCCGGCATAGTCATTAATGGTTCTCATTGTCTACCTTCACCCTTCAGCGAAGACAAGAGCTTCGATTTGCACTCCTCCTTTTCGCGACAAGACGTCCATCTAAGGTTAAAGTAGCAGCAGTCACCGTAAACCTTTGCATACGCACTAAACTGGCCAATAATACTTTCTCACCATTCAACGGTAGTGTAAAGATGACCATGTTTGAAATACAATGCGTGTATAGTTTCAAGCCGGCCCTGAGGGGAAGCGCCGGTTCCTGCGTGCTGCAATGTCATTGATTGCATGTGTACATAAAAACGAGCTACACGGTAGATGCGCTGGAACCAGCGCCAGACACGGCAGAGGTTATTGGGGCTGCGAACTCCACGGAAAGGGAGCCGGGGCCTG